GTCTCTTTGCCATACTCCCTGCATCCCTCCAGGCGCTACTTCATCGAAGCTGGTTTGCGCTCTGCCGGATGCGCCTTAATGCTTTCTGGTGCTTACGTCACCCCACCCGTGACGTCTCGCTACTCCATTGGACTGATTTGACACGTGCTTTAAATTTCAATACCGTGATAATACTGTATACCATGATAAAAGCATGAGCAATTAATCGCAACATGAAAATTTGATACCGGCATATCCCTACTGCGCACAAGCATCGGCTAAAGCCGCTAAAGACACAGTGGATTACGTTTGTTTTTGAAGGGAATGCGCCCCCCCGATCTACCTAAATGCGTTTGTGTTCGCGCGGATCATTTGTGATCCAGCTTCACCTCCAGAAGAAGTGGGTATTTTTATGAATCTTTGCAAATTGCCTTTCCCAATAATGTGCTAGTTAGCAAGTTCCGCGGCTAAATGCAGCTAAAGTTGACAGTGTCATGAGAATGGCTTGTCACTCCACGGAAGAAAGGGGTGGGGTGAGCAGAGCTCATTAGCATTTAAAGGGACATGCACCGAAATCTGATGACCCCTTTAATGACAGAATTTTAATTTTTAGGTGAACTATCCCTTTAAATTGATCCTAAGTATATAATGTTATAAAAGATTTCTATTTTAGAATTGTACATTTTTATTTAATTAATTTGTAGTACGCTTATTTTGTTTTATTTTATGTTTTTTGAACCTTCTGTTGATCAAAGGACCCTGAAAACAAATGATTGCAGTTCAGTGAAAATGAAAAAGAAAATGAAAGCAGCACAATTGTTTTTAACATTCATAGAAATAAGACATGTTTCTTGTGCACTAAATCAGCATAATAGAATGAATTCTGAAGGATCTTATGACACTGAATGAAAGTAATGCCTGCTGAAAATTCAGTTTTGCCATCACGGGAATAAATGGTATTTTAAATGTATTAAGATACAAAAATAGTTATTTTAAATTTGAATAATATTGAACAATATTATAAAAAAAAAAACAACCTTGGTGAGCAAAAAAAAACTTCCTTCAAAAACATTCACAATTTTTAATAGTAGCGCATATTTGAGGACACATATTCAGAGCTAATGACTTGAGGCTTGATATGTTATGACCTGTTATTGCTCCTTGTGGCTTATTTGGGCAAACTGAAGAAATATCACATTAACATTAACATTACTTCGTAATTTAGTGGAATTTGCTAATTCTAATTTAATATCATGCTTATTTCTAAATGTTATTGATGTGTGTTTGTTTGTGTGTATATTTTATAGTTAATGGAATATTAAGCTTCAATTTTTCCCAACTGAGGAGAAACCATCAGCAAAAACCCAACTGTCAGTCAAGCTGGAGGTGTGTCTTCTAAGCCACACCTGCTTCCCAACAACCACGCCCCTCTCCCCTCCCCCCTCGAGGGTCGTTTACATGTTATCGCACATGGACCAGATAATTCAAACGTTTTGCTAAAGGTCATCACCTACACCAAAACCTGTGGGCCATTCGCATATATGGACATTATTCAAAGGAGTGTATTTTTAACATTTTATTTTCTGTTTCTTTTTTTAAGCTGTTTTGGTATGCATTTTAAATGTATAGATATGTAAAGAGAATCACCTTTCCCTAAGTCTGTACTGTATTTTTATGTCTATTTATGTGTGTGCAATATATCAAATTTTGAAAGATAAGAGTGTTAATATTGAGCTTGCTTTTGTTCTGGTGATGTACATATGTCGTGATCGTTCAGATAAAAAAATGATAAAATAAAAATCTTAAAAAAAAAAAAACTTTAAGAAACTTGAAAAAATACGTACTTTAAATTCTGGCTTACAGCAAAATAACAAATGTTAGTAAATGCTGTCAAAAAGCTTTGTTTATATTTGCTAGTTTACAATGTTTGGCTCCTTAAAGATTCTGATTTACTTTATTTGATTTAAGAGAACTGCAGAATACTAATATGGACTGTATGTTTACCTTTATGTCATAGAATACGAGAAAAAAAAAACAGATATCAAAGAGAATGTAGCATATATGATACATCAAACATTGACAAGCGTTGGGTAATGCATGGAGGACTATTTTTTGAATGACCATGCTATAATTTGTTTCTTTTTGCTCTTGTTTATGTTGTTTAATTCATGGTTTCCTTATCAAATTGTTTATTTCTATCAATATCATAAGGATCTGATGTGGTAATGATAATAGCGATTATCATCATTACGACCCAACATATCTAGAAGTATCACCCTACTTTCAGATCGATGTAGCTTCATTTTCCTATATTGAGTGGCTGTGAAAATATTATCCTTTGACTTTATATCATGGCTGTATGAGAAAAAGAGATATAAGTAGCTTATGAGAAACTACATGTATCATTTTCACACATATTTGTGCTTTTTATTTATCCCGACATTATTTTCGCCCATGGCAAGAAGAGCGAAATTGAGCCGAGCCTGATTTACAAGCATGCACACTGCCCTAGTGGTGACTTAGTGTCTGTGCGCCACTCAATCAGAAGTTGATGTCATAGAAGGTGATGTCGGAATGGAACGGTCTTCCTTGAGGAAAAACCTCACCACTACTGGACTATGCCAACACCATGCTTTCCGTTTTCCTTTTTCTCTTCTTAAAGACATTTCCTCTGCTGATACTTACAGAACCTCAATGCCAATATGAGGATGTGAACTACATAATTTGTTGCCATGGTGGCGCTAGCAAATCAACATATTTAATGAAAAATACAATAAAGGTGTGATATGTACTGTAAGCATGATGTCATGTTTCAGCTTTTTTTCCCACACAACCATTAAATAATGACCGTAGTGTGACACTTATACACTTTTATTCTCGTTCAGCCATATACACACACTGCAGCCAAGGTATAGTGTTTAAATGTCTTTTTTAAAAGTCATATAGTAAACTAATACATGCCTTTATGGATAGATATTTATGTACTATATATATGCATATTCTTATCTCCACAGACGTAGAATGCGGATTCAGTAAATCAAACGTGGGCCAGTCACAGTGAAAGTAGTAGCAGTGTTCAACTTAATGACATTACTGTGTTTAGAGGATGACTTTTGAAATGCTGTTCCTGGGCCAGTTTCCCCAAACGCAAATTATTATAAGGGGGAAAAAAGCAGAGCTGGCCTCAGATCAGCAGCAAAAACAACCTCTGCTAACACAGCTGTATTAATCTGCAGTTCAAAGGAAAAGTCATTTGAATATCACATGGTACGCTCTCCTTCTCAACTGAAGCCAACCTGTGATTTGGTGAATCATAAAGAGAATACTCCCACTTATGTATAATAAACGAAATACATCAAAATAAAACATTCTTAAAAAAAAAAAAAAAAAAAAAAAACAAACACCCCTTATACTCACTTCCGAAACCAGTAAGATTTTAAAAGCATTCACCATCATAAATACCTCAAAGCAAGATTCCTCGACACATACTGATATTGAGCAATATGTACAGAACAAAATGAATATAATTTGAAAATAAAAATCTAATTTCTGATTTCACACGCACACACACTCAAAAACACATACGTAAAGAAATGAATAAATTCAGATAAAAATAGAATGTGTGTAACTGATTACTTGAATTTGATTCCACCTTTGCTTCCTGAGTCCCTCTTGAAACGCTTGCTAAAGTGAGTTTAAAACCATAAAGCGCATGTTAATGTGTTCTATTACAACAAAAAGCTGCACTGAAATGTGATGATGATGACGACTAGAATTGCTACAGATCACAGACACAAAGAGAAACAGAAAAATGACAGTCGTCTAACCACAGAAAGTCTTATTAATAAGTGACTGCTGCTAGCTAAGCATGCCTGCTAATATCCTTACAGGTGGCTAATGTGATCTACTGTCATTTTAAAAATGCATATTATATATACTCTCCATGGATAGAATACACAGACACACGATACCCCAACAGCTGATAAAGAAGGCAAGAAGTTTTCAGACATCTCAACCGCTGAGATCAAAATAGCATGTCATGATGTGGTGATATAATGCAACGATATTCAATAGTTGTGGTAGGCAGTGCAGTACAGGTTCTGTTAGTTCAAGCTTAAATGTTCTGAGTATGAATGACCAGGACTTTTTTTTTCTCTCTCTCTTTTGATAAAAACGTTTTTGGTTATTGTGATTTTTGTGTGTGTGTGCTCATTGGTGTTATAACTGAGGGATTTAAAAAGCAAAGGAAAGGAAAGGAAAGGAAAGGAAAGAACACCATTTGGTCACAATGAAGGACAGAAATAGATAAACACTTGTGGTAAACTGGGGAAAATAAGGAGAGAGGAAAATATTGTCCATTTACTTAAACTGGGCAAACATCCAGTTTGACTGGACAGGAAGACTGGAAGTGGCAGGAGTGAAGTGCACTCTGGGATTGCATGAGCATGGTGCATAGGAGTGGTTAGGAGAGCAGACAGGCTCAAAGAGAGAAGCGATGGAGATAGGGAGAGGAAAATTAAGGGGGAAACCATCAATCGGACTTCTCTGGCTTCCTCCCTCTCTTCCTCTCAGTCGTTTTGGGCACAGTAGTGGTGAATGAGGTGATGGAGGTGATGCTGTAGGTTGTCATGGGGCTCAGACCGATCGTCTATCTGCTCCACGCACACCTGCTTCTGTCCCCCAGCATCCCTCACTACTGATCTCCTGTGGGTCCTAGACTTCTGCATCCTCGTCCTGTGAGTGAGAAAGAAAGAAAGAAACAGGGTAATCAATGCTTTTATGTCTATTCCAAAGGTTCGAAGTGGAAAAAAACATGAATTTTTCTTTTTAAGTGTATGTTTAAGATGCAAGTGCACATAGATTATTTTAAGTGTGCATTCAGAAGACTGATGTAGGAGAGAGGAAGAAAAATGTTATTAGAGAGAAATAAAATGTAAAGACATGCTTTGTTAACAAATATACACACACCAATGCCAAATATAGAAAATTAAAATTCCCAATACAATCTCTACAGAACATTTGCATGAATATATTACATACAGTACCAAACATTTCGGTAAGATTTCTTGTTGTTGTTGTTGGTTTAGAAATTAATACTTTTATTTAACAAGGATACATTTTAATTGATCAAACGTTACACTAAAGTTTACTATTATGAACTAAATTCTGTTGCTATATGTCACAGTTTCCACAAAATTTGTACATTTTCAACCATTTTCAACATTGACAATAAAAGTTTCTTGAGCACCAAATCAGCATATTAGAATGATTTCTGAAGGATCATGTGACACTGAAGACTTTGCCACCACAGGAATAAAATACAATTTCAAAAATATTAAAATATAAAACTGCTATTTTTAATTGCAATAATATTTCATAATATTTCTATTTTTATCGTATTTTTGATCAAATAAATGTAGCCTTTGTGAGCATAAGAGGATTAAAAAACATACTGACCCCAAACTTTTGAAGATAGTTTAGATTTAGTTTTTTTTTTTTCTTTTTACTTCTACTTGCCCCCATAAACACACTTTCACACTAATATGCACACAAACACCATGCCTGTCTCTCAAACCTCCTGATCACAGATCCATCAGGCTGCAGTATTTTCTGCTCTACCACTCGAGGAATCTGCACCTTCCTAAAACCTCCAAAGTAGCGTAGAGCCTGAGGGAATGAGGCACACACTACATTAACACTAAATTATATATTATAAATTATATGATAATAGTCAGAACAGCTGTTAGTCATGGATGTAATTACATTCTCAGGACCAGCCATGGCATTTATATAATTTTATCACAGGTTTCTGGTTGCATAACATAAAAAGCTGATAAACTGGAACAAACTGTGAAAGAACTTTTGGTTAGAAAAAAAAATATTACAGGCATAATATTAAGACAGTGGTAATTCTGCACTTTTCCTCATTAAAATTACCCTAATCTTTAAAATCTGATGTTTTATAGATGTCAGAAATGACTGCTGTGATTGGCAGCTCACCTGGGTGAAATCCTCCCGGGCTGAGGGCAGGTCTGAGGCAAGATAAGGATCCCCCTCATGCTTTTCCAGCTGTTCTCCATGTACCATCATTGTCTGGACCACCTGTCTGACCTCTTGACCTAGAGCAGATTCACCCTTGGAAGATGACATGCCATCTTGCTCATGGAAAGTCACCTGAAATGAAATAAAACATTTAGCAAAACTCATTAAATGGCTATATTTTGATTAAGTGATTTAATTAAGTTGATTAGATTAAGTTGATTTAGTTTTAGTTTTAATTTCATTACATGATTAAGTAATCAAAGCATCACACACCTCTGTCTGATGTCCTTCGCTCTTCAGTACTGTCCTTTTTATTACTTTTGAGTATCCATCCCCTGGTGCCACATTGACAGGCTGCTGGGGGGAGCCCTCCATCCTCACCTTCTCTGTCTCCACCCCATCAGATGACACACATCGTCGAATGACCTTCCTGGTCACCTGAGAAGGTAGAGAGAGTAAGATAAACAAATTTGTATGGATATGATGTATTTAGCATAAATCCATTGTTGATCAGTCGGATGGATGGAAGGAAGGAAGGAATGAAAGAAGGAAGGAAGTGTAGATAGATGCATGGATGAAAGAGTGAATGGATGTTTGGATGGATGCAAGGGTGTATGGATGGGTGTATGGATGGATGGATGGATGGTTGGATGAATGAATGAATGAATGAATGAATAGGTAGATGGGTGCAAGGGTGGATGGAAGGGTGAAAGGATGGATGGATGAAAGGGTGAATGGATGTTTGGATGGATGCAAGGGTGTATGGATGGGTGGATGGAAGCAAGGGTGGATGGATGGATGGTTGCATGAATGAATGAATGAATGGGTAGATGGGTGCAAGGGTGGATGGAAGGGTGAAAGGATGGATGGATGAAAGGGTGCAAGGATGGATGGATGAAAGAGTGAATGGATGTTTGGATGGATGCAAGGGTGGATGGATGGATGGTTGGATGAATGAATGAATGAATGGGTAGATGGGTGCAAGGGTGGATGGAAGGGTGAAAGGATGGATGGATGAAAGGGTGCAAGGATGGATGGATGAAAGGGTGAATGGATGGATGGATGATGAATGAATGAATGAATGAATTAATTAATTAATAAAATCGTCCATCCATCCTTTGAATGAATGAATGAATGAATGGGTAGATGGATGCAAGGGTGGATGGATGGATGAAAGGGCAAATGGATGAATGGATGGATGAAAGGGTGAATGGATGAAAGGATGGATGGATGAAAGGGTGAATGGATGGATGGATGAAATGATGGATGGATGTATGAAAGGGTGAATGGATGGATGGATGAAAGGGTGAATGAATGAATGAATGAATGAATGAATGGATTGATGGATGGATGGATGGAATGATGGATGGATGGATGGAAGGATGGATAGAAGGATGAAAGGAAGGGTGGATGTCTGTTGGAGGAACATCAAAATAAAGTGTTAGCAGACTGACTGGTAGTTGACATGTAATTGTAAATTTACTTATAGTTAGTAGAATGTCTAGACGTGGACTATCAAAATAAAGTGTTTCCAAAGATGGATGGATGGATTAAAGGAAGGATGGATTGTAAAATGGATAAAGCGTAGATGGATGGACTAAAGGGTGAATGGATAGAAGGTTGGATTAAAGAATGGATGAATGGATACATGAATACTGCAAATCTTGGATGTTTACCTTCTTCATAACCAAGTTTCCCTGTGCATCTGTGTATTGCTCTTCTCTTACAGACTGTGGAGGAACATCTGGAACATCATCACCCTGTAGAAGAAACCAGACACTTAATCATTACATCTCAATGTTTAAAGCAGTGTTCACCATAAGAGGAAACAGCTGCAATGGCTTCAGTAAAGGTTAGGGTTAGCATAAGAGGAATAATAAAGAAATAATGTTGAAAATATCCATCCCATATAGAAAGGAGCACACTTCCTGTAGAAGTTGTCCATTTTATGGTGATTGTCAACAACGATATAATATAATATAGGGGAGATCATACGTGTGTTCTTAGCTTAAAATGGAAAACTTCTACTAACAATTGAGGAGCAGGCAGGTTAAGTCACAGCTGAAAATGCAGGATTTTAAAATCAAAACCGTTTCCGAAATAAATCTTAGAGCTACATGAAAAACCATCACACAGCTTGTTGGGAATGGGTTATTCAGTAAGCCTAGGCCAAAGTTGTACACCAAATATATGTTGTAGATATATATATATATATATATATATATATATATATATGTATGTTAAAAAGTGGCCAAGCAAAAACATTAGATAGATCCATGTTCCATGCTGCACACTTGATTAGTCAATGTCCATCTGTTCATACAGTAGCTGACCGGTTTAATTCCTACATTAATGTGGCCTTTTACTACATACACTACATCTGTATATATATATATATATATATATATATATATATATATATGTATGTTAAGAAACACTGCAGCTTTCACACTGAACCTCCAAAATGGAGCAAGCAATCTTCAGTCATAGATATACCTGAATAATTATTCTCCTTCGCACCACTCTGGTGGTCACCACATCCTCGTCAGAGCTATCCGACAGCACACCTAATGCCTCATCAATCTCCTAACCAAACAGCATGTATGAAAAATCAGGCCTTAATATAAGATTGAAATGTACATGAAATGTATAATAAAACATTAAAAAAATTAATCTGAAAAATGAATGCAATGCTGCCCCCTCTGGCAAAACAGCATAAGATAAAACATTATAAGAATTTGACAATCAAATCAATAAGATCAATATTAATGGCAATTCTTGTTATCAAAAACATCACAGAAAAACAACAGAAGGGGCAACAAAACATTGTTAACTTGACACAACATGCACCATTTTTAAACAGATTTCTTGTATGAAACAACTGCGTGGTAAGAAAGTTACTTCAAAACCAGCAATCAGTTGCTTAGTTGTTAGTGTAAATATCTATGAAAAAAATTGTTATTTACATTATGATATAGTTATTTCTCACTTGCAAAATCCTGCATATTTAGTATATGACCTTACAGTCATAAATGTAGTACATGCATCAGCACTATTTGAACAAGCTGAAAGCAATTATGATGGTGTTAAGGCATGAATGTGACATGATCACGTTTTTTTTTTTTTGCTTGAGCAAAAGGTTTTTCCTAATTAGTGAAATTGCTAATTCAAAGAAACCAAACACCATCCCTTCAGCAAACTCATTCAGTAGGAAATGGATTAGGGTAGCTCAGAGAAGGATGGGTGGAGGGGGAGGTCATGCTGAGGACGCTTACCCTCCTCAGATCATCATCATCATTATACTCAGCCCCTCCTCGAGGAGGAAGTTCCTGAGGAGTTTGTGCAGATGATTCCAAACTTTTCTGCTGCCATGGAAAGTAAACGTCTTTTTTCTCTGCATCATCATTAGGTTCATGGATAATGGGAGAATCCTCGAAATCTTCACTGTCTGATGACCTGATTGACCAGCGAGGGCTCTCATGGGATGACTTGTATCCTGAGGGACTTCTGACATTTGGTTGTTGTAATTCATGAACAGTAGACCGTAAGACGTTTTTACTCAGCGCCATGGCACCTTTCCCAGGTTCGTCTTCTTCTGCTTCAGAATAGTCTGAGATAGTCTGTTTGCAGTCGAAAAAAGTCTCAGGATCAGACTCATCATGTTGTTGATCAATGCTTAGTAAATCTTTGTTTTTTGGTTTTTCAACTTTGCCAGGTTTTGGCACAACTTTGGTGACTTTTAATTTTACATTTTCACTCGGATCAATTTGAGATTTAGGTGACTCGATTGATGCTTTTTCAACCATTGATTGCTGCTTCCCTGTGAATGTGTCTTGGGATACACCAAGAATTAATGAAACAGTCTTCTCAGAGCTGAGTGGTTGATCAGACAATGGCTGTTCTGGTTGAACTGTTTTCGTAAGTTCCTCAAGCACGGAATTCATGCTGAAAACCAAGGGCTCAGAAGAGTCAGAAAGACAACGGGCAGAGTGTTTTCCCTCTGATTTTTGGGATGTTGCACCAGACATAACTGAGTCTGACAGCAGTCGTCTGGAATCTTTGGAAGTTAAGGTCTTGTCTCTGCCATCCTGAGAGAGTGGCGGAGCTAGTACATCCTCCTGGGAAACAGTTTCCTTAAGTGCTGGATTCATGTTCAGAGTGAGCATCAAAGGATCGGAGGACTCTGAGAGACACCGGTCAATATGCTTTTCTTCTGACTGTTGGGTTGCACTAGAAATTATTGATTCAGATTGCAGTCGTCTTAAACCTTTGGATACCACTGCCTCCTGTGAAACAGTTTTCTTAATAGATGCTGATCCAAGTTCAGAAGACTTCTCCCTAAAGTCAAAATGTTGACAAGTTATGACTGTTTCTGGTGTTTGTGGACTGCGGTTAGAATTACAGAAAGGTGAAGTTTCACTCAGCTGTGGTGTTTCACTTTGAATCCACATGTCCGAGTCAGTCTCTGATTGGGACAACAGTTCTTTCTTAAAGTCATGACTGTCATCTATGAGAGGTTCAGTAGTTAAATCCAATTGTGTACATACTTTTCCCTCCTCAGGACTATATTCATCTTCCCGATCACCACAATGGTCTCCAAAGTTTTCTGGCTTTTGCTCTGGAGACTCTAATAGTTGAAGATGTTGTTCATGGGAATCAGTTTGTTGGTCTATCCTAGGATCAACTTCAGGCTCTGAAGGTTGCTGTGGGGAGCTGTTGGTATTATATTGTTCTTGATTTAAAATTGTGACCTTGTGATGGGTAGATGACTGCACTGATGCAGAGTCAGTTGTAGGAGAGGATTCAACAAAATTGTGCTCTTCTACTCTATGGCTTTGCAATGATGGCACTGGATCCAAATCACTAAGCATTTCTGGGGTAAGGCAGACCTGATCTGATTCTGGAGAGCCCTTAATGAGGTCTGGAGTCACTCTCGAAACCCCTGGATTCACTTCAACACTGTGTGAGACAGCTTCATCCCTTTCAAGAGCATGAGGGGAAAATGAAGGACTAATATTTTGGCCTACTATTTGATTGCTCTCAGGAACCGATATATCAACTTCAGATGATTTGCTTTCATGACATGAAGAAGTTTCATCAGATTCAAAGTGATGCGCCTCTACTGATTTTTCATTTCCTTCTAAATCACTTTTTTCATATACAGGTGATACTTGATCAAGACACACAGAACTTTCATCTTGATACTTTTGCTCTTGGAGTTGAGTTGCTTCTTCTTGACTCTCTGGTGAAGTGTGCTGCAGTAGGTCGGGTACTGTGTGTTCAGAGTCAACTGTTGACAAAACTGAATTTTCACTTGAAGAAAATCTTGCAATAGATACCTGACTGAAATTAAAGACATTTTGAGAAGCCTTCGTTGATTGTTGTTGGAATTCTGACTGACTTTTCAAAATGATTGGTGATGAAGAGAGACAAGCATTTTCATGGTCAGAAAAGTCACACTGAGCTTGAATTTCCTCCTCAGATTCTGCAGAAACCTATGGGATAAATTATATGAGGTATGGAAAATATGACAAGGGAAAAGAGATGATATTGAAGGGATACTTACAACCAGTGAGAGACAAACAACAAACTAAAACAGCACATGCAATGATCATGAGTTCAGCTTAGAAACAGATCCATGTAATCATTTATCATTCAGTAATCAGTCCCTGTGGAAGGTTTCTTGGTGTTCAGACATTCGGGACATGACCCTCTTATTATGTTTCAAAAGCACAATGCCATGAACTTACTTCTTCATCTGCATCTTCCTTTGTAGATTCTTTTTTGATCTCTTGAAACAGCCATGGATTGGTGAAGCTGTCCCTAGGAGATATTGAGAGTGGAAAGTGAATGACCAGGAGGTGCAATACCATAAGATTAACTGAATGTTTTTGATAATGTAAACATCACTGTAAAAGTCAATCTATGTATCACTAACTGGTTGATCTCCAATTCTTCGATCATATCCCCATGAATGCTCTCTGAATGGGTGTTTCCCATTGTTTCAGCCCACGATGGAATGTCAAGGAGAGAGGCCACAGATAAGTCTTCTTCTGACACAGCTGGAGGATGCCTTTGTGAAGTCTCCACTCTCCGCACCACCCGAAGACTGTCACCATCCTCTTGGACTGAGGAGAGAGCTACAAAAGACAAAACATTCACTTTGACAATGTAAAGACTAAGACTTTGACTTCAAGGCTTGTTTTTAGGATCTAAATCTTGTTTAACATCTAAATGTAAAACTAGACTGTGCTGAATGTCCTACCTTCACTGTGGTCCAGGGTCCTTTCAATCTCTGCATATGTTCTTGAGGTTTGCTCCTGAAATGACTTGTGCATTTGGATCTCAATAAGATGGACAATGTCCATGCGATTTATTTTAGTGAGTCTTTTAATCAATGTATCTTCTGTGGAATTTGAGACATAATCAGAAACTATCAATTAAAATGGACTTTAGGCATTGACTGTTAAAAGAGTAAATAAGAACAGGATTTACCAGTTGCATGCTTTCCTTCTCTCTCTACCCAGCACTGTAAAAGAGCATGACTCTGCTCTTGTAGTGAATTTGGGTTTTCAGCACGCACTTGCTGAATCTCATCTTCGTAGAACTCCAACTCTTTGGCCAGCTCTGAAAACAGATTATTGTATAAGCTGTTAAAAAAGAAACATATCCACTTATGCATTAACATCATGTTTTTCTTTCTTTTTTTTTAAAGCTTTTTACATTTTCTTTTTCTTATTATTTTTGGAAGAAAAATGGTGCTCTCTTGCCCCCAGGATGCTAGAATTTTGTGAGCAGTTGCCACAGTGTTGCTGTGCTATTGCTACAGTATTCTGGGTGGTTTTTAGTATGTTGTTATGTGGTTACTAGGATGCTCTGAGGGGTTGCTACGGTGTTTACTGCCCCAAAGTCTATTATGATATCTGGTCAATGCAATTTTATGTAATGTAAGAGGCAGTTGATGATCTGACTACTTGATACTGATAAACTCACCTGTCCAACTAAAACCTAGAAGGTCAGCAATGATGGCCAAAGTCTCTTCTTTCCTATCTGCATCATCATGCCAGTCCACTGTAAACATCAGTCAGAGTATTTTCATTAATACTTAATGAAATGCAATCAAACACACACACACACACACACACACACACACACACACACACACACACACACAC